CACACACACACACTCTCTCACACACACACACACGCTGAGCAGGAAGTGATGTGTGGCATTCATTCAGCAGGAAACATTTCAACAACTTCCTGGCACAGAAATCCAAATAAACAAGAGAGAGGAGCAGCATTATCTGCCGTTATGAGCAGAGCGCACGCGAAAATCCAGCAACAAGACGCTTCTGATCTACATAAACAACCATTACATGCCAGCTAACTAAATCAACCCATTCACACAGACACTGCTCTTCCTCTGAGCTGCCAATGCTGCTGTTTTAAAATTACACTAGCTTTCTATTCCTGTAACTACATGACATCCGCTTTAAAAGAATCCCTCTATACAAATTGATGCTTGATGACAGAAGCGAACATGAAGCACTTCATCTGAAGCTACTGCACAAAGCATTTATCATCCTTTATTTATTATTATACACTCAACTTTTAGAGCGCATATGAACTGAGCAATTATGCAAAAGTTTTGTACTTTTAGGATTTCATTTGTCACACTGTAGAATCTGAAGCTCAAAGGGGTTTAAAATATTAAAAAACACAATTAAACTTTTACATTCATAAACATTTAACCTTAAATCATTTTTAAAGCACTGTGTTGACTGATGTCAATCAGGGTTATTATAATTAACTAAAACTGAAACTATAACTAAAACCATTAAAAAGTTGTTACCTTAATGTTTATTTTATTTCAATATAAAGTAAGACCTTTTTCATTTAATCTATTCAACATTTCTAATTTTCATTTAGTTTAGCTTGATAAAATATCTAAAACTAAAATAAAATTTATGAAAACTATAGACTTTTTTTTTTTAAACTGAGAAAAATGACAAAAACACAAACAAAATTACAAAAAAATTAAAATAAAAAACAGAAAATATAATAAAAATATTAATAAAAACTATAATAGTATCTCAACTATACTAAAATATCATTGTCGTCAACTACACGAAAGGTCAGTTCTGATTACATAATTCTTATATTATAGCCTATATAATAGTTATACATAACAGTAATTATATAGTTGTTTATAGTAGGGGTGTGCGATATTGAAAAAAAAAAAAAATCTCAATATTTTCTGGGATTTTATCGCTAACAATAATCAGCCGATATTTTGCGGAGTGTGCTATTGTGCTGGTATCTTAAGGACAGCTGACTCCTAAAGGTTTTGATATTCTTCATATTCTGATTAAACACAAAAGCATAGATTCTGCCTCATAGCTGATGATTTCTTACCCGCACTGAGAGCCCGAGAGATCCGCCAGACGCGGTGAGGTGACTGACAGCACTGAGCAGTGCGCATGCGCAGCTCACAAGCCCTCTACTGGAGGAGCGAGATCACGTGACCAGAGCAAACAACAACAACAACTCATCAACAACACGCAGCATCTCTAGAATATTCTCAACTCTTCACATCACGTCACAGTAGCAAATATTTGCCACAAACTACACGTGCTCCCTTCACGGAGGAACGTGCGTCTCGTGCTTCACATTCTCACTGACGGGAACTTCTTTCAGCTGGGACGTACACTAACTCTCTAACTCTCACAGATCTCAAACCAGCTCAAACATCTCAGATCTGATCTCAGTGTGTTCACAAACACTCGCTGCATCCAAACACAAACAAAAACACCTTGCAATCAAATATAAGAAGCCTGGACACACTGGTCTTTACCCAGCATGCACTGGGCTTGAGGAAGATCTATAAAGGAAAGTGCATCAATGAGATGACTGATGTGTGACTTCAAACGTAAAGAAGTGTGTGTGTGTGTGTGTGTGTGAGTGAGTGTGTGTGTGTGTG